TTGCCAGGGTCCGTTTTGTTCTTTTCCCGTTCCTTTCCCAAGGTTTTCTTTAGCTTCCGCCCCCTTGGGGTGGAGGAGGGTATGGGGGAGGCAAAGGTTCTTCTTCGGGCTTCTCTTTTCTCCCTACAACTTAAACCAGGTTGCTCATTTCCATCATAGCTCTGCCTCTTTATCTTCCCCTCAATCGAGACACGAACTTCCTCTTCAGTCAACTCTGTATACCCAGCAGGGCAGCCCATAATTCTTTCGACTTCAGTAACATGAAGCAGACGAGGCTCTCCTCGCTTCATGCACTTAAAACTGGCATGCTCACTTTATTCCCAAGGCGACAATTTGTTGTCATAACACAATTGGTTTTCTCATTATATGCCTTGGCATTGTTGATAACAAATTGTAGGCAAGTTTTCGGATGTGACTCAATGTCAGGGATTTGCTCCGGACGGGGGATGTTCGTCCAGTACAACTGCCGCCTTTGCTTGTGGTGATACCCACTTCGAATCGATGAACATAGGCACAACTCCCCCTAAGTGCTTCGTAATCTCAGATCTATCTTCCCATTTCATTGAGGAAACATTCTCAAGCAGACACCATTTTAGCTTTGTCCCCTTCATTGCTCTTAACACATCCCAAAAGAATATACTTTTCGGCCCACGCAATCCATGCTTCCCCTTTACCCTTCCCCGAAGCTCGGGCTTTACCGAATCCACATACATTTCCCCCGGGTCATCTTACCTGGCCTTTCTCAGGTCTTGCCAATTCTGCATGCATATCATCCTCTGTCCTTTCTTGCCTTTTACTTAACTTTCCATGTACCGTACCCAATTCATCCCTTGTGCAGCCAATTACTCATCCATTTCTCAATCTTCCAATCCTTTTCTCAGGTCCATGCAAAGTCCATTATACCAGTCTTTTCTTTCCCGGATGTCTTGCCCGGCCCATTTTCAAACTCGTGCCAAATAGCCCACGCAAAGCCAATTACACAAGTCTTTTCTGTTCTGGGTATCTTGCTAGGCCCCCTTTTCTCAGGCCCTTGCAAAGCCAATTACACAAGTCTTTTCTATTCTGGGCATCTTGCCAGGCCCCCTTTTCTCAGACCCTCACAAAGCCAATTACACAAGTCTTTTCTATTATGGGCATCTTACTAGGCCCCCTTTTCTCAGGCCCTCGCAAAACCAATTACACAAGTCTTTTGCATGCGTTTTTCATTGGTAGATGGCACACCTTCCCCCCACTCAAAACGCGATGTCCCCATCGCGCGACTGGTTCTCACTCGGAGGTACGCAGACCTTTGGCCCACCAGCCGCAGTCAAGGTTACAAGCCCGTCCGCTTCACAAAAGGAAGAGTGATCAGTTCCTCCCCAGCGAACGACGCCTCATCCTCCTACTCGGTCCGACCTTTCTTCTCTCACGTGGCGAGCACCAATACTGAGGTTCTTCCTCACGTCTGGCAGGCAGGTCCAATCCAAGCCTTGCAGGGTCTCGTCTAGCCGTAAAAGCGTTCCTCGCGAATCGTTCCTCCCGAGTGGTAATTTTTTGGATTCCGGCCTCTTCCTTTCAAGAGAGTTGGGGCTCTCTATTAGTCCACGAGTGCAGTTACGAAGACCTCGCAATTAGTCCCGAAACGGTTGTAATGTTCCGGCAGGGCAGTGTCAATGCCCCGTGGTGGTGGCGGACTCCACCCGGTACCTCGCCAGCCTTTCCCCTTGGACAGTGCCTCCCAACTTAGCGCGGGCAGCCGCGGTCCGACCCAAACGGCCATGGCACCCCTCTATGACATGGCGTATGGTTGGAGAATGGCAAAATAGACTAGATGAGAATGGCTCTCTCGCCCATTTGGCTCTTTCGCCCTTTTGACGTTTAGGCGTTCAACAGGAGGCGCAGCTTGAACTCCCCGACTAGAGCTCATTGTCGGAGGTGGTTCCAGACGTCCCGCACCGATCCAAGTGGTAGGTGCCTTAGTCCTTTAACCCTCATCCTCTCGAAGAGGAACAGGTCGCGCTGAGACTTTTCCCTTAGAGGGATAGAGGTCTTGGGGTCGCGGTGCATGCACCGGTATCCCTCTCTTGTTGAGGCCAAAGACTAGAAGAAAAGAGAAATTTTATTTCAATGCTCTTTCAAAGTCCATTTCAAGTTGCCTAGGGTCCCCTGTTTATGCAGTGCAATTTTCAATATTCAATCCAATTCCAATGCTCAGTCTCATTCCTATGCTCAATCTCAGTCCAATGCTCAATCTCAGTCCAATGCTCAATGTAATATATCTTCCAAGGCTGACTCCAATATCCTTTCCAAGGCTGAGTTCAGTATCCTTTTCAAGGCTGAGTCCAATATCTTTTCCGAGCTCAACTTTCCCAATGTTTTTTTCCAAAGCTCAGCTCTTCCAATATCTTTTCCAAGGCTCAACTCTTCCAATGTCTTTTTCCAATGCTCAGCTCTTCCAATATCTTTTCCAAGGCTCAACTCTTCCAATGTCTTTTTCCAAAGCTCAACTCTTCCAATATCTTTTCCAAGGCTCAGCTCTTTCAGTGTCTTTTTCCAAAGCTCAGCTCTTCTAATACCATGCATCCCAAGCAGCCATGCAAGGAGACCCCAGTGCCAGTTCCAAAGAATGACCCTTGTCAGGGGTCATTCCAAACAACCTGGTTAGGGTCGTTCTTTCCAATTCCAAGTCGAACAGCCTGGTTAAGGTCATTCTTATCCATTGCAATCGGACAGCCTAGTTAGGACCATGCTTATCCATTCCAATTGGACAGCCTGGTTAGGGCCATCCTTGTCCATTGCAATGTTAGCGCCCGAGGGGGTGGGCCTCGAGGACACGGATCCTATCTCGTCTCGGTGGTCAGAAGGCGGTCATCTTCTTGGGTTTTTACGCATGCTTCTTCCTCTTCCTCATATCGTTTGTCATCCTTATGTCCATTCATACATCCGACTTAGCGTCTAGTACTCGAGTTGAGGGTCGCAACCTCAAGTAGCACTAGCCCGCCCGGCCGTTCAACCATTGCGAAGGGTGTGTGTCCTCAATGTTTTCTCTTTCTCTGGTTCTCATGTGTCTTGCTGTTCTGGACTGATGTGGGACTTGTTGGATTAGGCTCCTAGGGAAGACTGTTCTTCACGCCTCTTTACCCATAGGTCCCCTAACCTTTCACAAGGACTCATGCGATGACTCTTTCAACCAAGGATACACACTTTTCAAAAAGAAAACTTTCTGCTCATGCGATGACTCTTTCAACCAAGGATACACACTTTTCAAAAAGAAAACTTTCTGCCATCGACTTTTCTTCCAATCTTCAACAGTTCACATACCCTCGTCCATCTCTCAGAGTCAATCATCCCCAGTCCCCTTCTTACTTATGAAAAATGCTCCTATTTTCTCAAAGGAGCGGGTACTTATACAAAGTGGCACTAGCTGCTCATCCCTTGTTAACTTTCCCAGTCCAAGGAGTTGTTTTGTCACCGTCCTTCAAAAAGGCAGGAGACGAAGTTCGAATGCAAAAGATAACATTGCAGACTTGTCTCATCTAGACCCCAGTTCTTCATAGTCCGAGTCTCAAACTCATCAACCCACATGTCCTTCCGAAGAAGCCACTACTATTGGAAAGTAGCACTAGTTACCCAGTCTTTGGTCAATCTTAATCAAAAGTTGTTCCATCGCAGTCCACTCAGAAAGAAAAGGTTCAAATGCGAAATTCAAAATGGCAGTTCCACCTGCCTGGGTGTCAACCCTCCCCCAATTTCTAGCTAACCCCCATTATGCCCACTATCCCTTTACTGTCCAGCTGCCTTGCGCCGAGCCTCTCTTGCACGATCCTCAATCTCTTGCTGCATTTGTCTCTTTATCCTTTGCAACTGAAGGAGTGTCTCCTCTGTGAAGAAGGTTGTTGGGGATAAGTCCTCTCCCCTGCTCAACTTTTCCTTCCCCTGCATTGCCCACTGGTATCGCAAGATACTGGCCCATTGATCAAACCAGTTGCTGAAAGTCGGTTCAAACTCTCCTATCCATTTGTCTTTTTCTTCCCCCGGGTCCTCCTCTCTCCCCCGTACTTCCCTTGTGGGTGTTGCCACTTTGTCCTCCTCCTCCTCGTTGCTGAGGTCTATGACCTCGATGGGCTCCTCCTCCTCCAACCTCGGCCTTTTCCCTAGGTTCCCCTCTTCCTCACTAGTAGTGTCATTGTCTGATGGAAGGACTATTGTTTCCCCCTCCCTCAGGGGCGACGGTCCCCTGGTCCCTTGCTTTGTCCCACCTCTGTTTACAACCAGATTGTGATCGAATCCCACATACAGCTTCCTCTTCCTGGAACTTGATTCCCCGGCCTGTCTTGTTGACTGCTGCTTATTGGGCCGGTTGATAGCGTTGCTGTCGTTCTTGTTTCCAAACTCCATTTTGTCTTTTCTTGCTGTCCTTCTTGTTTCCTGGTCCTGTCCATCCATAACAGTCATCTCATCCCCTCATACGCACACATTCCCTCCCACGCTCATTTGCAGATTTGTAGGCCTTCCTGGAACCCTTGCTTGCCCCCATGTAGTTGGCGATCCCATCATCCCTTTAGATCCCTTGGCACATTGTCCCAACACATAGGTGCCTCATGTAGGCAGTCCACAACATCATCCCACAAAAACTATTGCACATTGTCCCGGCACATAGATACCTCGTGTAGACAGTCCCCAGAGTTGCCCCACAAAAACTATAATACACTGTCCCGTGCTCCCAAGCCCAGTCATAGTCAGCCCCGACAGTCTCCCCATGTTCCACAAAGATTAAGACACACAAACGAACAATCCTAGTGGTCATGATCGCTTCCATAGGGAGGCGGTCCAGGACTATAGCCAGCTGCCTGCCATTCAAGCTATCAATTTCCCTGTTTCCCTGTCCTAGGCTTCTTGTAACCATTGTTCCACAGGATCCCTGCTAAAAAACCTGACCAGCCTCTGTCCCGGAAATGGCCCTCTTATACTAGTACCATCAAGATCCTCAAGTTCGAACGTGTTCAATCCCACCCGCTTAGCGATTCTGTAGGGCCCTTTGAACCTCTTCCCCAGCTGCACAGACCACGTGCTCTCAAGGGCCGAGTTCCTAACTACCACCTTTTCCCCTACTTGGAGTGGTTATTTCCGGATATTCTTCACCTGGTCCCATCTTGCTTTGTCCCTCATTCGGCTATCCATCACGCGCTTGACCACTTCTTCCAAGGCTTCCTCATTTCTAACGACCTGCTGGCATCTTGCGATAATTAATTCTTCCGTAGACAGACGTGGATTGTCATCTAGCCTATTCCAGGTGGGGATTAAGGCTTCCGCCGGAAAATCAATCTCCCTCCCATACCAAAGTTCTGCTGGAATGCACCCTGTTGTCCTTTTCGGTGTCATGTTCTCTGAGAAAACTGCGTGCTTAAGGAACTGTGGCCAGTTTCCCAAATCATTCACTGCGAGCTTGACGATTGTGTTCTTCAAAGTCCGGTGCCCCCTTTCTACCGGTGCATTTGCCTCAGGGTGATATGGCTCAATGATCTTGATGGGTACGCACAAGGTCTTAAGCCTGCTCAATACCTGCTGAATGACGAACTCCGTCTCGTTGTCTGCTATGAACCTGCGCACAAAGGGGTGTCTTAGGTAGAAATCCTCTTTCCAATCGGCCACTCCCTTCCCTGTCTTTCTCTTGAGTGCTATCGCCTCTACGTAGCCACTGAGGTTATCCCTCGCATCCAGGATGTACCTGTATCCATCCGTTGACACCGGCATAACCGCAAGGTCGAGGTGGACTAAGTGCCCCGGCGCTAGTACCCGGGTAGGTCTAAGGGGCTCGAAGACACGTGCGGCACTCCTTTCCTGGCATATCAGGCATGTCTAGCAGTATGTTGCCACCATACCTGCCATACCTGGCCAAAAGTAGAGTGGTGCGATTTTCGCAAGGGCCCTTTGGATGACCTATGCCCTCCAGCTAGTCCATCGTGCATTGCGTGGATTATGTCTAACTGCCTAGACCTTCCGCACACGACTCGTCTAGGCATCATCCCCTCTTGCTTCTTAAACAGGTGGCCGTTCCTTAAAACATACTTTTCGGCTTCCTCCCTTGCCTTGGGGCCGACTTCCGTGGACTGCTTGTTTCCTATAAGCAATAGGCCGATTTCCCTGAAGACGCCCTCGTACATCTGTATAAGGAAGAATTCTTGTTCCTTCCGATCAGCATCCTGCTCCTCCTGAGTCTGGTTAACTAGGTACCGCCACTCCCTTTGCGCCCAGGTCTCTGCTAGGGTCATCACAGCGTCCCGTCCCTCTTCGACGGCCATTGCCATCAGTTCCTCTTTGGGTCCTAACGTTGCTCCCCGCGAATCCTTTCCCTCTTTGTGTCTAAACGTGGTGACCTGTCCTTTCCTGAGTTCCGCCACTACCGCGGGGGCGCCTTTTTCCAGAGTCTGGATCAGCAACTGACCCATTGTCGGCACGGCGTCCGCCATCTCGTTATCCACGACGAGGGTCCCTCCCTCGTATTCCAAGAAGGCGTCAATTGGCTCTGCGTCCTCTATCCCTTCCGGCGTGATACACACCCTACTCAGCCCATCTGCCCTGTTTCGAGCCCCCGCAATCCGCTCGACCTTGTAGTCAAACTACCATATGAAGCCTATCCACCTGCCGACGGTCGGATCTATAGGCTTGTAATTCTTCAGTGCCCCGGCAACATTGGTGGGATCGATCCTTGAGATAAATCGCCTCCCAAACAGGTACGCTTGGAAGGTCTTAAGACAATGAAGGATCGCTAAGACCTCTTTCTTTAACTGTGAGTACTGCCGTTCTGCCGAATTCAAGGTCCTACTTTCAAATCTGATTGGCCTTTCCTTACCTTCCTCGCTCTTCTGTATCAGTACTCCTCCAACTGTCAGCGGTCCCCCATCTGTTTCTAAGATGAAGGGTCGTCCTACCTCATCGTTGAAACAAGGTGCTGCTAGGGTGACCTGATCGAAAGACAGGATGTCTTTAAGGGGCTGGGCTGCCGCTTCTCTATCCTCGGTCCATTCCATAGTGCCACCTTCTCTAATCATCGAGCGGATAGGCTCCGCTATCTTTGCGAATCCTTTGATGAAGATCCTCCAGAACCCGACCACCCTTAGGAAGGCTCGTACTTCCGTCGTGGTGCGCAGGGGTGTCGACCACTGGGAGATCTTATCTGTCTTTGCTGGGTCGGGTCTTCTCCCATAAGCCCCACAGCGAAACCCCAATATGGTTACCTCCGGAACAGCCAGGATGCTCTTTGGTCCACTTGCGGTAATATTATAAACCAGGAACCGTTGTAAGAGATCCTTGATATCCTGCAGGTGATCCCAGACAAACTTTCGCATGCCCGGCTCAACCTCTGTCTCATCCTTGTTTTGCGCGCCCTTTATGGGGTTATCGTCTATATATGGTTTGCATTGCTCTGGGAACATATCTCCTGCTACAGCCAACATTCTCCTCTGCGCCTCTGCCACCGCATTCGTGAAACCCATAGGAGTCACTTGTATTTGCAACTGCCCTACTGGTGTGTGCATGGCGGTATACGGTCTATCCCTCGCACCGAGCGACAACTGGTCATATGCTGAGTATAGGTCTATCAGGGAGTAAATACTTCGTCCAACATGTGATTCGGCCAACAAGTCCGCATGTGGGAGCGAACCCGCGTCCCTAATTGTTACCGCATTGAGCTTCTGCAAGTCCTGGATCCACCTAAGTGTCTTGTTGGGCTTCCGAAAAACGAACCACTTGTTTGCGTAGGGGGATGCGGTGGGTTCAACCACGAACGAATCTATCTTGGCTCTAAGCAGATCGGTGACCTCTGCCGCTATCCCAAACTCATAGGTAGGCCCTTTATCATTCCAACACTCATGCTCTACCGTGTGGATCCTAACAGGGGGAATTAATTTCGCATCTAACCGTCCTTTCTAGTGATCATTGAAGGCAAAGGCTAGATGAAACTGTTGGCACGCCATCCTTATCAACTGAGTTTCCTCTGTTATTAAGAACCCTTCCACCCCTATTTTCATGGTTTATGCTACTTCATCAGGTATCCAATGCCCTTCCGCTGCTCGCCTCTCCCTTATTACCCATAGGACCTCCTCCTCCTTTTCCAAGGCCTCTTCCTTTGATGTCTCCACTAGGATCGAGACCGGCTTAGCCTTCTTTCCTACGGGTTTGTACTTTCGCACACTGCCTTCTGGGATTGTTCTCCTAAAAAATGAACGGTCAGGTGTGGCCTTGCTACCTCCATGATGCGGGGCTGGATGCTAACTATCTTTCCATTCAGGCAATAACCCTTTTGGACGTCATCCTCGAACTTGGCAAGTGCTGTCGGGTCTACCCCAACTTTGTGATATCTAATAGCTTTGATAAGCTGTAGCAAGTCTGGGAATTCAAGGACTACTTTGACATTTCCTTCCGGCCTTCCTTCGCCTTGGGCAGGCTGGCCCCAAGTTCAACTTCCGACTCTTTTTCTGCGACCATAACCCCTAGGACCTCGTCCTCTTGCCTCCATAACCCTTTCGGACTTCATCCTCGAACTTGGCAAGTGTTGCCGGGTCTACCCCAACTTTGTGATATCTAATAGCTTTGATAAGTTGTAGCAAGTCTGGGACTTCAAGGACTACCTATGACATTTCCTTCCGGCCTTCCTTTGCCTTGGGCAGGCTGGCCCCAAGTTCAACTTTCGACTCTTTTTCTGCGACCATAACCCCTAGGACCTTGTCCTCTTGCCTCCTTTTCTTCAGAGGCAGGCCCATTTTGATCCACTCCTTTTTGTTGAAAGCCTCCTCAATCATGATTTCTACTCTCTCCCTCATACCTTCCATCCTTGCGAATGCCCCCTTCCGCGCACTCTCTTCGAATGTTGGCGACCAGGTTGCCAATTTGCCCTTTGGAGGGTCCCCTCCGGTCCCAAGAAGTCGGAGTTCTCCGCGGCCGGTCACTGGGTCCTGTATGTCTACCATGTATGTGTCGTCATGCAGATGCATTCCTATCATTTCTACATTGGCGCACCACGGTCTTCCGAGGATTATGTCATGATCCATTTCCTCCATCACGGTCATTCGCTGAAAGGACCAGATGGATTCTCGAATTCCCGCCTTGACTGCACATTTGGTGACATACCCTGTGAAAGGGATTTCACCACCGGCTCCCCGGATACTCCCTGCTACTTCCTTGTTTACCGTGCACCCCGTGACTGTTGCAAAATCTCGTCGTATGAGGGTGATTTCTGCACCGCCGTCTACTAACGCGTCAGTGTGGTGAGTTTCGATTTGGACTTTAAGTTTCCCTACCGGTAATGCATGGAAGCTAAGCTTTGTCCCGGGTGGCGCCCTCATGACTTCACCACCTTCACGATCCGGTAGGCTTAGGCGGATGTTCACAAAAGCTTTCTCCAAGTCGTCTAGATCCCCGGGAATTCTTTGGAGATTGGAGACGCCTTGGGGTGCCTCTGCCTCTTCCGTCTCCTGCTCCTGTGGTTCCGGGGCCTCCTCTACCTCTACGCGCTTACGTGTTAGCAACTGCCTGAGTCCTTTGAGCAGCCTTGGGCTGGCTTGCAGCATGGTCTGAAAGGACACTGATACCATGGTACCCAGCAACTCACTCAGGGTGCCATCGATTTCAGGCGAAGTCAGGATTGGAATTTGATACCTGAACTTCTTCTTTGCTGGTCTCTCGACTTCGGTCTCAGCATGGTCTACCGGTTCCTCCTCTCTTGCTTTCCCATAGACCTTCTCTTTCTCTCGGCTTCGGTCTCTTGCTGGTATGCGCTAGTCCCTGCGAGTTCTTCCATTACCGTATCTTGAATAAGCTTCTTTTCTGCGCCGGCCCGTCGGGTAGTGATATTTACCCTATCCTACCCATTGCCTTCTAGGATAAAATTGGCCTGTGGTCCGCGTCCCCTTGGTTGGTTCCAGACAATCTCGGCTACCGGCTCTGCGTCTACGGCAGCTATCTCTAAGTTATTCAGGAGGATGACGGCTCGCCGCATCTCTCCTGGCGAGTTCCAATTCACACGCTCCCCCTGGGGTCCGAGAATCTTGCCTTTGAGGGACCTGCTGCACCTCTGCCGCTCAATATCGTGATTGAGTTTTGGGCAAGCCCTCACGAAATGTCTGACCATTGCGCAGTATTTGCATCGTTCATTGGCCGGATCCCTCCTGCCAAATCCCCGATTAGCTATGGTTGCCGGGACTACGGCCTCTTGGGGCGGGAGGGCGGGTCTGGACACTTGCGCCTGCATTACTAACAACGCATTTTCCACTCTTTCCATCTTGCTGTCAACCCCGTGCACTCGTTCGTGCAGATTCTCTATCCCCTTCTTGACCTTATCCCTCGTCTTCCCGGTCAGGTCTATAACCTCCCCTTCCTTGAGAAGGGCGAGGGTCTCAGTTACCACTATCTTTTCTGCAAGATCAGTTACCGTACTGAAATCCACATCCCTTGTGTATTCAAACTTACTGGTCTGCTGGTAGGCCGACAGAATCTTATCGTTGTCGAACTCGGAGAACTGCCTAAGGAGGTACTTGCTCATTATACGGTCCGTTACCCCGGGGATTCGCAGTGCCACTAGAGTGAACGCCCTCAGAAAGTCATTGTAAGTAGCACAGTTTTTCCTTTGGACTGCCGCCAATTCAGCCTCTGTCGCCATTTTCTCCGCCTTCAGGTACTTTCTCATCATCTCATTCCGGGTTTCCTTCCAGAATCCACTAGAGGAGACGATAGCCATAATGTCCCTTCCTAAGCTCAACGATACGTGCTGCCGTAGGTGGTTCGTCTTTTCTTCCTCAGTCCATTTCAGTAAGGCTGCCAGATTCTCATAATCTATTAGGAATTCCGTGATGTTTGCCCCATCGAAAGTGAGTTTCTTCTTTGCGTCTGCGAGATACCCCTGATTCTTATTCAGAGCCCGGGTGAGGGTGGCTACTATCCTTTTAAGTCCCCCTTCAAAGCTACCCGCCTCACCGACCGCGCTATTCCCCTCTCCTTCCCTGCCTGCCTTCTGCTTTTCCCCAGTCTTTGGCGTACCCTCCGGATCAAGCCAGCCTAACACCCTCTCTCTGAGACTCCAGAGTCCATCGCATTCCTTCGTTGCTTTGGACGTGGCGGGCAGACAACTAGCGCCACTGTCGATAGCCGGCGGGGTCGTGGCCTTTTCTGCCTCTATAGCCAGGGACTCCCCCTTTTCCTTCCCCTTCTTGTTGGGTGTTCCCTTATGGCTGTTATCTTTTGCTCCGTACTTGGCTTCGCCCTTACTGGTCCTGCGTCCCTCTCGCGACCCTTCCCCCAGGGGATCCTCTTCATTCCCAACCATCATTTGTTCAATAAGTCTCGCCTTGTATTCTGCGGTCCGCCTTTCTATTTCTGCCAATTTGTGGCGTGCATCCGAGACTTCGTTTTCTTGGGTGTTGTTCCTCCGGAGTTCCGAGGACTCCCCTTTTCGTCGTCCCTCCCTTCCCTATTTTCCTGCGGTCCCCTTTTGCTACCCCCAACTTTTCCTGAACTTTCCCCTGTGGAGAGGCCCTTCCCTTCTTCTCTGGTCCCTTCTGACTTTGCTGATTCCTGATCCGAACCCTCGTTCTGTTCCTTGTCCCTATTCGGACTAGCTGCCGAGGTCTGGCATTTTGTCGTCTCCCTGCCTCGGCTCTTAGGGCGGTGTCTGAGCTCAGTGGCCTTCCCCTTGAGGATAGCCCTTTTGGCTCTCTGACACCCAAATGCCCCGGCGTTCCTGGTGCGGGTGGTCTTCCTAGTTCCTTCCTGCCGCATCGTCAGGTAGGGCGGAACTCCAACTAGTGCCCCCCCTTTTGCTGATGGCTACCTTCTCATCTTAATACCCATCCTTTAATTTTCCCATCTTCCACTGGCGCCTCTTCTTATGCTAGTCCCTCAGGCCTGCCCTGTTCGTCCGGTTCCTCGAACAAGTCAGCCACCCCGGCAAGGTAATTTTCTCCCATCTCTATTTCCCTGACGATTATTGGCTCGTATTCCTCAAACGACAAGCGTGGCAATCCGAATATCAAGATTTCAATGAGTTCAAGCAATTCCCAAACCTGATTCCCCCAAAACGGCCCATGTCTAACCGACACATCATAGAACATGCCCGTTGTCTTCGGCCGGAAGTGGTGGATCCAGACCAGGGTCGAGTCCACCATATCCTTTGCCCTTGGGAGGCTGCCGAATACCAGGTCTACCATGAAGCGAGGCACTCGACATCTCAACCCTGTCATTGGGGACTTAAACTCTCGCCAACCTCCTACCTCCACCCGGGTTCTCAATCCCACGTTCCTTCTTCCCCGCACTTCCTGGCCTACTCGGTTCAATATCCTAGTAGCCCTCTGGCAGGTATACGGTCCCCGTCACCCTAAGATCCATGTATAGATCATCCCCGGGTCCTCTATTAATCCTCATACCATCCCACAAGCATTCCACCATCATGAACGCCTGGTCCCTTCCCAAGGTTACAGCTCTCCATTCGGTATCGATCCCTCGGACCCTGTAGCTTGCTGGGAGCGATACCTCCCATCCGTCTCCGCTTTCCGTGGGGGGTCGGGGGTGCGTGGGCCGTCGCGACATCCGGACGCGTCTCATCGCCATTTCGATTTAGCGGTCCCCTGCACAGTTTAAACAGTAAGCGAGTTTGCTTATTTCATTTATTCTTCGGCCCTTACCTGAGCGACTCCCTGGTCCTTTACTTGACGCTCTCTTTCCTCTCTATCCCCTTCCCCTTCCTCGGCTCTTCTATCGGCCTGTTCCTTCCTCCATCGGCTCATACAATCGATGTAGGTCGTCTACGTACGTCATCCCCTGACTTATTTCCCGTCGGACGACGCCCCACAGGACCTCACTGCCTACACCCGGAGTCCTTGGTCTAGTGGTAAACACGGCGTGCAGGATTCGCAGCACCTCATACTTCTGCTCTCCGCTGAACGGCCCCATCTCTAGGAAGGCCCGATAGTATTCTCGGTGTATCATCGTTTCTTCATACGTCAGGCTGGCGAGGTCGGCCACCGCCTGTCTGACAAGTTTCAGGCCGCCTAGCCTTTCCAGCAGAAAAGACGGCAGTCTCATCCGAATATTTTCACTGGGCAATTCAAACCTTCCGACCATGGCTACCCTAAGGTCTGTCTTTACGTCATCGGCCTCCGGATCTGCGAACTCAAATCCCGCCTCCCATACTAACTGCCATGCCCCTTCGAACATATTTAATGGATCTTCCCTTGATGCCAACAGGACCCCGAACTCGCGCCACCCATCCTCGGACACATACAATCGCCCGTCTGCACGCACATGCCCCCACGGGTCTGGGTTCCACTCCCCATGCTCATCAGCACGCCACTCGACCCTCGTTACCAAGTAAATCATATTTTCCATGAGTTCACCCCAACCCAATCCGCCACCGGGTGCCAACCTCCGCTCACGACCGACAGACTAACTTCTATCCCACCCTCTACTTCCCTAGGTGGCTCAATGCCTAGGGGGCGATTTTCAAGAAACGTCCTCCTTCGTGCCATCTCGTGCACATCCTTGGTCTTCTAGCCCACAATTCGCACCGAGCCCTATAATGGCCAGGCATTCCATTCCCTTGCCTTAGCAATTCTCCCATACTTGCCTGGCCCCACAACCTTTTCTGCTCTTAGTCAAACCACAGTACCTCGAACAACTTGAACACATCATCTACATAGCAGTGTGTGGCAGCTACCTCGCGGCGAATTATAGCCTCCCTGATTTCCGGGGCCGCTTCCATCCAGTCATTCCTTTCGATGTCCAAAATGGTGAGGACCTTCCAGGCTCTATCGCCATGGAACGGCCCATATTTTCGAGATGTTTTATAGAACTCTTCTGTTAGGCAAGCGCAATTCATGTGCACCCGCCCCATAGTGTTGGCTACTTCCTCGACATGGTCAAAACCCCCAAACCAATCTGCTACGAACTCGGGTACCCAGGTCTTAATTCGTTGGCAGGGGGGCCTAAATTCCTTCCACCCTCCCATTACGGCTCTACTACTGACCACATCCCAGCCTTTGTTTGCAAACCTCTCGCCCGCCCGTCGAGCCCTTGCCTCAGCATCCCCCAAAAGCGACATTGGGTTCTGCCCTGCCGCAAGTGTTGTGCAAAACAGGTGCCAACCTTGTTCAGACAAAACGACCGTCCCGACCGACTCCACCCTTCCTTCCGCAACCTCCTCCCATCCTTCCTCTTCCCTTAGCGGGTTCCAGACACGCTCTATCCATAGGTACGATAGGTCGGGCACAATTTCAGATCCTACCCAGTCACACGTGGTTCCTCTCCACTCATGATCCGCTGGTATAGACATTTCTACTCCCCTTCCAGCCCGTCTCGGTTCCCACCCTTTAGGTGTGCAATCCCACAACTCGCGCTCCCGGGCCATCGCTCCCTTCCTGCACATAGTCGACAGCCCATTCTTGGATAAGTTCCCTCCCCCTTTTCAGAAGTCCCAATCCTCCACCTCGTCTCCATCTTCATTACCACTGAAATCTTCCTCCCCATCTGAGAACAACTCTTTCAGTCCTTCTAAGAAGGTTTTTCATGCCGCCACATTCCGATAGATTATTCGCCAATGCACCGGGCTAGGAACAAAGACTTCATCCGCGCTGAGGAGGTTTAATACCTCAGATAGCTCCTCCGCCCAGTTCCTTTCAAACGGCCCTGCCTCTACTGACAGTCCAAAGAAATTTTGTCGAGCACACTGGTACAACCTCAAGCGTGTCATCAACCGATATATTTGCTCCAGCCTGTCCCTGGTTCCGAAGACTGCGTCCCCCAGGAACGGGGGTAGTACACATCTCAATGTCCTAAGGGGCCGTCTCATGTTTCCTCTGTCCCCGAGTTCCACTCGCACCTCTACCTTTTCCATTTCCATTTCCGCCCGCTGACACGCCGCCCATACCACCTCCCGTTCCGCTTGCCTAAACAACTGATCCGGTGTCGTGCCTGATACCAATCTTATCACCATTTCATTTTCCATATCCTGGGATAGGTAGACCCACCCTCGGGCTTCCACCGTCGCTCGAAACTCTAAGTCCATCAGTCTTGGTGAAAGTCTCGTCAGGCTGACCTTAGTCCAAATCATCTCTATCCAAAGGAACGCGTCCTTTTCATCCAGCATCACCGTTTCATAGGCTGACTCCAGGTCTGTCCACGTTCCTTCTTCGGGGAGGACGACAGATACCCCTTCCCTTACATCTATGGGCATTTCCGGACCACTAGAGTAGACAGGGGGCGACAACCATCGCGCCATCTCGTTTTCCCGACGCCCGTCCTGTTTCCACATGAGAGCACCACACGGTCCCTCATGGTCAGATTGTCTCCCTTCTAGATGAGAATCATTTTCAGACCCCTCACTCGTGTCTCCCCGACATTTCCTACCCTTTTCCCAAACGCCACTGCCCTGTCATACCCTTAATCAATCACCCTTAGCCGACATTCCTTTTTCTTGTTTCCATTTCCTTCCGACTCCTATCCAGCCTTATCTTCTTGTTCTCTCACTCGTGTGGACTTAGGCAGGAGGCGGGATTAGACTTAGAAGTTCAGCTCCCATCCCAACATTCATCAGGCAAAATTTACAGGGGGAGGCACAAAAAGAAAAAGTCAGGCAAACGACGCACACAGGTCGGTCATCTCCTCACCGACCTTTCCCCCAAAAATGGTCTCTCCACTGTTACTATCGGCAGAGTTTTATCCCGTACCTCAAGCACAGCTCAACCGTCGCGAGCGCGGTACCCAGACTCCGGTGGGGGGTCGCCCTCACCTTCTTGCCCAGAATACCCCATCCCGACTTGCCTCTCGTGAACCCACCGTTAATCTCGGGAATCGCCTCGCACATCTCGGTAGGGCCATTGGAGCCAGCCGTCCAGGCATTCACTTCCATCGGTCCGACAAGGAACAACCTTTCCCAAACCAAACTACGAGAAGCTACTAATCGTCTTCGAGGCTCCGTCTTTGCTCGCGTGCAGCGACACTCCCTCCGCCAGTCCACAGGCTAGGCCCCGCCTAAAGAAACGTTTCACACCCCGCCCGGCAGATCAGTCGAGACGAAGCCCGTCACCGCACGGACGAGGATGCTACTAAGCACCCAACGTGACAAACTCCCGTTAGACAGCTCGGTGGCCTGACCCCCGCATACGAACAAACGACAACCTGCAAAAAGAGAACGACGTTTGGCAACCCGCAGTGGCCGGTGCAGACCCCTCCTTTCCTTCCGAAAGGCAGGACGCTCAAATCCCCATCATGCAATCACAAGTCCCAAGTGGGACACACATAGTGCAAGTGCCTTTCCCTTGGTGCTCCTACCCGTAGCTCGCACCTTTTCTCTCAGGACAGTGTGTGCCACTCACCCCTAACTTCCATACATAGTGTCTGGTTCCTTTTCGTGAGCATTCTTCAAAGGTGAGCTAGTTTTCTTGGAGTCTAGCAACTCCCTTCATTCCCTTATCTTTGCTTGTGTGTCCGTTCATAGGGCAGGATTGTTCCTTCTCGATTACCCGTTTTGTTCATATGAGGTTTCTTCAAGCATTTCAAGTGTAGTGCGAGGAGCCCACTGGGCTCCTAAAGAAGAGGATAAAGCACCCGTGTCGGTCGGATCACTCCGCCGCGGGATTTTCATTGGAACCCGAACTGGCCCAGAATCCCAACCGCCTGCCAGGTAACTGGAGCCCTTCTTTCACACGAAGAGGAAGGGTCAACCTGCGGCTTGCCCAAGGCTTCTCCGGTCTGACGAACATCAGCCCGAAAGAAAGAGGACCAGAGTCATCTCCAAAGGAGATGGCTAATCAAGTGCGTAAGCATGCATGTTATACCTCCAGGCCTGGCCTTGCCATGCGCCCAGCCGCCCTCAGATCTGATTCACTCAAAGGAGTAGAGCATACACAAGTCCTCGTTCCTTTTTTTAATGTTATGTTCGCGGTCATGCGTCGGGCGCCCCCCTCGAGATCGTATGGTTTCAGTTTAACCCAATACCCGACGCCTCCACCATTTTTGTAGGGGCCGTACCCTAAAGGACTTTCGAGCCTTAGTCGACCCTACTGCGGGTCCCATTTGGCTCTACCCGCCCACGCTCACACTCAGGGCGCGGGTCGTTCGTCCCAGGGGCACCCCCACCTAGTGCTATGAGATGGATGGGGATGGCCTTTTGCGAGAGGGCCTCACATTGGGGGATGTAGCTCCGTTCTCGCGTCACGATGGTAGCTCTTTCGTCACTCGTGGCGTTTTCTTGATTCAATTAAGTCTGACCAGGCAATTGCTCCTTCCACTACGCAAGCAGTCCAAGGAGTTTATTGAAGATTTGTCTTCTTATCATGCGTAGGCCAAGCGTCATCCATTGGGCCACGCACCTTTTCACTAAGCCTAGTGGCTCAAGACAACCCCTACGGCATCCTTGGGGTGGGGTGGCATCGCCCAGACCCCTAGCCGCTATATTTTTTTGCTTGAGCCACCAGCATTGCATTCACCTATCCAAGACTGCCCTTAATCCTTCCGGGCTTGCATTGCATTCAAGAGAGCCATTGCATTCAATCGTCACACAAGCCAAATCCAGGCGTCTACCACTCATCCAAGCATCCGACCATCCAACCCATCCTGCGTTCATAGTTTAAGCGAGGTCTAAGTCCTTCCCTCGTCGCTTTTCCTATTCCCGCCCGCATCCGGCGGATGCAGTCCCGCTCAGACCACCCTAGGCTACTCACCTGCGCAAGACCACACAAAGCCAAAGCCAAGTACAATCCCCATTGGGGTCAACACATCGCCCCTCCCGCAAGCCTAAGTTTCCTTTGTTATTGATGATCCTTTGGTTATCTTTCCCTTCACTCAAGCAAGCCATGCCTTCACCTTAGCCATGCAGCCGGCGAAGATGGTTGAGTCAAACTGACCTTGGCACAAAAACAACACTCCTTTCGCTTTCTTCAGATGCTCACAATAGTTTGGTACCTTCCCTTCTTGGTGGCACAAGGGACCGGCAGCCCTCCCCTTGCCCTCGCTTTCCACCAAGTGAGGATCGAGTTCCTTGCCGTTCGTTCCCTGGCAATGTAGCAAGTGAGGGTAGAGGTTAGTCACGTGCCATGGAGGGGAAGGGGTAAGGGGGAAAGTTAAAGGCCAAAGGTCTTGAAGAAAAGGGGGAGGGGAGAGAGGGAGAGAGAGAGAGAGAGAGAGAGAGAGAGAGAGAGAGAGAGAGAGAGAGAGAGAGAGAGAGAGAGAGAGAGAGGGACAGGAAGCGAGACTTCCTAATCGACCCGGCCCCTCGAGCTAGCCTAACGCGTCCGACCCAAGATCCGCGTACCCCCTGGCAACCCCTATGGCTTTCGAGTGGATGAGGCGAGATGAAAAAAAGGGGGGAAGGCGTGAGGTGGTCGGCTATGGTGGATGGGTGTAGGTATTG